TAAACTATTTCTTGCTTTCTTATGAAATATTACTTATGCGAACCCGCAACAGAACTTTTTTTTGTCTTCGACTGATTTTTTTCTTCATTTTTTTGGAATAATTTTGAAATGTCTACTTCAAAATAAATACATATACCAATGTTTAAAACCATCGATAGAGTGGAATGTAGCGATAAGCATTTTTTCTTGTTTGCTTCTTTTATTTCACTTTCCAATCCCTAAACAAACCCTGGCAGATGATGCACCTGTAAGGTGTCAGTGGAATCAATATGTATTTTCTGTCAGAGGGAATGAGTAATTACTCATTAGTGGTCAAAGGGTTGGACACTAATATGTGTTGATAGGGAACTCATTTCAACTCCTTTTTGCTCTCAGTTCAGTTTAAAAAAAGTCTGCAAACAAGTGTCTCAAATTTGACTATGGCGACCAGTAAACGTAAAACGTTCTCCATTGATGATAAAATGGGCATAATCAGAAAAATTGAAAATGGATGCAATCAAGTTGATATTTGCAGGGAATATAAACTATCCAAATCTGCAGTTTGTAACATATGGAAAAATAGGCAATTAATAATTTCTGCTCATGAAAAAAATTTAGATGGCAGAAAAAAGTTGAGAAAAGCAGATCACAAGGATGTTAAAGAAGCATTACTGAAGTGGTTCACCATTCGAAGAAGCTGCAATATTCCAATATTTGGACAAATGTCGATGAATTTGCTAAGCGATTTTATGAAACTACTTTCATGTGCTCGAATGGCTGGTTGGACAGGTTTGAAAAGTGGAATAACATAAATTCAGGAAAAATTATTTAAGAGTCAGGAAGTGGTTTCATATCTGATGTTGAGGATTGCTCATCATCTAAATATTACTAATTTTTTTTGCACGCAAGACGAAGAGTAATGAAAAATAACACATTTTTTGCTACTGCATAATATTTTTCAGTCATTTATTTGAATAATGTGCAATAAAAGGGAGGAGTTAGGGAACGATTGGTTAAATTGCCTGCTTAACGGATATAGTGAACTCCCGGTTACAGTTAACCGAAATTTCAGTCCCTTGAAGGTTCACTATAGCGGGATTTGACTGTATACTATTTAATATGACGCATTAAACCTAATAAATCTAGTTTCAGGGCTTCTTTGACGAATCATTTAATCATCAAGATTTCCCGAGAAGAGGAATTAAATCACGCCGCAATATTCACACAACATTAATCATTTCCTTTTAAATGAAATATTTTTTCCACATAAGATCCCCGTTACAGATGGCTAATCTTTATTTCGTGGATTATCGAATTTGTTCAGGCGTGATAATCTAACTGTTTGATTTTTTTTCTCACTTTTCTAAAAGAGGACATTTTTTTTCTCCGTTGATACTAACTTTTTATTTATCAATGGTATTTTAAAGTTCTCTAAGTAAATTCATGGTTAAATAAATGTAACCCTTCCAACAAACCACAATAAAGAATCATTATTAAGTTAAACAATTACAGAAAGAATCATTATTAATTTAAACAATTAAGATAAACATTATTAAATTAAATTCATGGTTAAATAAATGTAACCTTTCCAACAAGCCACAATAACGAATCATTATTAAGTTAAACAATTTCAGAAAGAATCATTATTAATTTAAACAATTAAGATAAACATTATTAAATTAAATTCATGGTTAAATAAATGTAAACTTTCCAACAAGCCACAATAAAGAATCATTATTAAGTTAAACAATTTCAATTTGTCAAATTTAATAGGATTTCTTTTTTACAGTAATAACTGCAACTTAGTTGCGAAAATAAGCAATGAATAAAATGTAAACTTTCGGACAACTTGGTACTGCTCAAAACGGTTCATCTATAATATTTTTAGCCGAAAAAGTCGAAAAACCACATTACAGAAATGGATTAAACAGGGGAACAATTTCTTTTTTCTGTTGTATGAGATTTTTTAACCGAGCAAGGATATTTTCAAGTCGCTGATTTCAAATCTCTCTTTATGCTACAGGTTTTTTTTTCTCCAAAGAAATTTTAAATCTATTTTTTGTTTAAATGTTCAAATTTAAAAACGTTATAAATAACAGGGGGTCGCCTAAATATATCGACAAATTTCTAGGGGTGTTAGGGTAAATCTTTAGGATTAAAATTGCATAGGAACCCATGACCGGATAGGTCGTCGTATGCCGCTAGGTGTGATTCCCCTTTATGAACTGTTTCACCTGAAGAGGTCATAATAGGAAAGCATAATATTCACATAATATGGTCAACCAATCAAAATTTTATCAGCGCGTATCCACCCTACGGCCTATAAGAGTCGTTTTTTGAAAGCCGGATGCTAAGCTATGTAATAAGGATTACGAATTCTTATACTTTTTTTATTTACTATCATCGGATGCCTAACACAACATTGTATGGCTAACACAACGGCGGAATAAGTATGTGGTGAACATCTTATTAAGCAGTCTAGTTCCTCGCAACTGGTTACACACTTTAACCAAGAAAGCTCATCTGAAAATCTCATGTACAAAGGGGTCAGGTATAGCCTGATTGGTAGGACACTGAGCCCATGTTCAAGAGATCGTGGATTCAATCCTCGCCGGCCGAAGACTCCCCGTGTAATAAATGGTGACTGATGCAAGCTAAATCTGTCGAGTCACAAAGTCCTCCATGTTCCCATAACAAATCATACCTCTGGGGCTACCGATCCAGTAGTTTCCTTGTCTTCTGGATTGGTTCAAAATTACAAGGCTACGGAGTTGAATATTAGTAGTCGTAAACCCAAAATTGGGTCGACTGTTCAACGACCATTATAAAAAAAAAATCTCATGTACGACTGAACGGGATTTCAAATCCCAGGGTTTACAAAATAGTATTTCTTCCATTCCTTCAACATGTAAGGAGGCATTCTGCACTCCTCAATTGGTGACCCTGAGCAATTGTAGTACGGAACTCTAGATACTGAAGATAGATAGCAGCACAACAGAGCTGCTTAGCACTTTATTTCCGAACTCTCACAAGAAATGGCAAAACTTTTTAAAATAATTAATCCGCATTCCTTGCTTCATGTGGCAAAACACAACTCAACCACAACCTAATTCCAATACCCATTACCTAACGAAAACCCTAACATAACCTTATTCTCATGCCCAGTTAAACTTCATTTTTGCGGGTTTCAAAACATGCTAACTGTAAATGATTACAAAATTTACGGTTTCCTTACCTTACCTGTTGTAATGAATTTCAAACCCATTAAGGTAAAGATATGTTCAGAACTGTGAACTTTACTGTAAATTGGATGGATAGACTGCTGCCATTTATTTTGTCGTAATTTTAGAATGAAGCAGAATTTAACAATGTCAATTTCAATTCTCTAACAGGAAAGAACAAGAGAAGAGACGGAGGTGACATTGACATCATTTCACTATCTCCTTAAATTTCGATTAACAATAAACTTCCTTTGGTGACTAACTCTAATTGTAACAGTCAGGAGGCAATTGCAACTTCTATTGTTAATGCAGGGATGCAGTTAATGTTTTAGTTTCTCAGCTATTTGGATCAAAAGTGATCGAAATTTTTTATTGACAATAAATTCTACGTTGCGATAAATTCCATTTTTAACTTAAATAACTAAATCCTACTTATAGCAACCAGCAGATAGCTTAGACTTGTATTGTTGTCAGATACAAAAGTGTCACCAAAGTGTCTTTCAGATCTGAAATTACAATAAAATAACCGGTAGCAGTCTGCCCATCCGATTAACCATAAAGTTTATAGTTCTGAACATTTTTTTTACTTTTAGGGTATTGAAACCGTTTACGACTGGTACGATTAAAATCCGTGAATACAAAACAATAAGGTTTTGGAACCATTTCTAAACCATAAAAATAAAACTTAAACGGACATTGCAGCTCTGTGGATGCTGCACCATATATGCGAGAGTTCGAATTCCTTCTTATAGCCCAGTGTCACCGATTGAAAAGTGCAAGACGCTAGAAACTCTTCGTGTGTTGAAGGATTGAAAGAAATATTGAAGTATTAAAGCTGGGATTCGAAACCCTGTACAGCCGTTCATGAGATGGACTGATTAGCTCTCTAAGCTACATTATTTACCCAGCTGCGTGGAACAAAATGACTTTATAAGGTGAGCCTAGTTGGCGCGGATAGAATTCCAGTTGCTTAGCCGTTTGAATATCCTATTTTTATGGTTAATTGACTGATTTGGTAGAATATCGTAAAATAACAATTAAATAAATTATCTAACCATTTCTGCTGAGACATTTCTAACAGTGCAGATGAAATTTTAGCTAATGCTATGTTTAGAAATCCATCAGAATTTTGTTTTGTGATTGACTATAATATTCTGCTTGCAGTTCTTAAATAGTGATTTAACTATTGTCATCAAGCACCAGGTACTCTACCTTTTGGGAAAATAATCGTAAGTTTAATTAATTATAAACTCTACTTTTTGATGAATATGATGATAAATTTGCTTGAAACAGTTTATGAGAAGACTAAGACTTGAATTGTCATCAGGCATAAAGTACTTGATGAAATATGAGCATTCTAGCCGATCTTAAAGTTGTCGAAATTTCCGATTGCAAGATTCTGTCGTCACAAGCACATGAACGAGTTAATGGAAAAGCGTATTTGAAATATATATAGTAAAAAATGAGCCTAGGTGGTTTTGAAACTTAAATTCGAAATATATGTAAACAGTTTTTATTTGCCGTGAAAGCTTTTATAATTGAGCAAACATAAAACAATACTTTCTGCTCATTTTTACTCGATAAGGATTATTAAAATACCATTCCAAGTTCCTATTCCAGAAATCATTTGGCGAATAAAATACGATGCAGTAATCAGCAGAGCGGTGAAACAAAAATATTTTCCTAAGTGTAAATACACATGTGAAGCCATGTTGCCATGCTGCTTTGAAGATTTCAACGGTGGATAGGCCAAGGTTTATTGTTTATAATGAAGACCCTTATGATGGTGAGGATTTATTTGCAAGACTGTTTCTCGGCCTTGAAACTGTAACCGAATCAGCAGTCATTTTCATATGTCTCGCATCACAGACTTTAAGGTTGATTGGCTTTAGCATAATAATCTTATAGCGCTTTTAAACGCAGTGGCATTTTTTTTAAATCCACAAATTCGTAAAAAAACATTGATAGTAGAGAACGCTTTTGAGATAAGAACATGCCTGTATCCATAATTGAAGAAAGAAAACGAGAGGGAATTTCTGATCTTAAGGGTATGAAATTTCTGAAATTACATATCTCTTTTAAAAACTTAGTAAACAAAAACAAATATTATAATACGTCGTTACCCTTTTTTTTTAATATTTTCATATAAATCTCTTAACTGTATCCTTGTCATATTTAGAATTTAAAAGTATTTTTTTAATAAACTAGTTGCGGTTTAACATTAAATTAAATATTATAAACATGACTTTTAATTCTAAATTCGTATGTAACTGATTAACTAGTTTTCTTTTTTACCATGTAGTTCCAATGTTATCGCTAATTTAGTTTCGTATTAGATTGCTTTTAAAAGTATTTCTCCTTCATCTATTCGTTATACTCTCGTATTTTCTTATTATATTAGTTTCGTTGACCATGTCTTTTTAATAATTTTCTCCAAACTAAGAAAAGACAGTGAATGATTTCAACAAGATTTTTAAACATTTTATGATAGTATATTTTCAGTAGTGTGCTTTCTGCTTTAATTAAATATATACCTATTTATAATTATAAAACCACCAAATAGAAAAAGAAATCATTGCAAATAAGATTTTAAATTGAAATATGAAAATAAGTAAAATTGACGTTCAAAATTGAAATTTTATTTGATTTAAAAAATGGAAAAGGGCAACTATAGTTTAAAAAGTTTTTAGTTTGTAAATCCTGAATCGAATGCTTATATCCTCCACTGAAACGGAGCTTTTATAGAGCTTTTTTTAAAAAATAAAGTGAAATTTAAAGCTGTAAATTTCAATGTTTAATACCAAATTTAATTTAATACCAAAACTTATAAACGTAAAGCTTTTTACAGTTTTATTAAAATTATTATTTTCTATGATATTAGGAAAGATTTTGGATAGTCTTAAGAAATTTAAAGTGCATTTTTGAATATGATTAAAAATATAAAGATTAAAACTATTGTTTTTAAGTTTTCATGCCAAACCTTCTATAAAAAATAAGATTCTTAAAAATCTTCATTCAATTCTTAAAAATATATTTTATATTATATATTTTATATATTAAAAATATATTTATTTTGTATATGTAAAAATATATTTATTTTGTATATGTAAAAATATATTTATTTTGTATTTGTATTTGTATATATATATATATATAATTATTTAAATGAAAATATTTTTAAAGTTAATCAAATTGTTCCTAAATCCTTTTTATTATGAAGAATTTAAAAAAAGTTATTATGTCTTACAACAACTAAAAAAATGTAGTCAGATTGTTATTTACAAGTTAAAACAATAGCATTTATTCTCAAAATATAAGTAAACACGTGATCAACACTTTTTGTTTGTAAACAACGTAAAGCCAAGAACATTTCCCATAGTGTACCGTATGAACTCCAAACGTTGTATAAATGAAAGATCATAATCATTCACAGGAAAACCTTCACGGTTGACCGATGATTATTCTTCAATGGGCGAAATCGTAATTTGGAAAGCCTCATTACATTTCCGCAAAAAAAAATTGCTTCTAATGTTGGATATTTTACAACTTCAAAGAACTGATTGAAAATATTATCTGTTAGGAGCTGCTTTTTAATTGTTATAATCCTAGATGACTGAAAGAAAAAAAATAAATAAACATCGACGGGAAATGTTGATCATTTTATAACTAAATATTAACTGAAAGAAAATATTATTTTTTTAAAGTTGTTTTCAAATTACATAATGGTAATTGAATAAGGAATAAAAATAAACGTTATAAGATTTTGATCATTTCATGNCACCCAAACATTTGAATTCACTGTAAGGAAAATCACACTTGATTTCAATGTCACTTTTATGGCCGAAAAAAGCTTTTATATTTCGCCAGCATAATCTTAAATTTTTCTGTTTCGAATTAATAAAAAATAAGGAAAAAATAATTTTTTCTCAGAAATTCTGTTTTTTAATATAAAACGTAAGTGATCAACACTTTTTGTTTGTAAACAACGTAAAGCCAAGAACATTTCCCATAGTGTACCGTATGAACCCCAAACGTTGTATAAATGAAAGATCATAATCATTCACAGGAAAACCTTCACGGTTGACCGATGATTATTCTTCAATGGGCGAAATCGTAATTTGGAAAGCCTCATTACATTTCCGCAAAAAAAAATTGCTTCTAATGTTGGATATTTTACAACTTCAAAGAACTGATTGAAAATATTATCTGTTAGGAGCTGCTTTTTAATTGTTATAATCCTAGATGACTGAAAGAAAAAAAATAAATAAACATCGACGGGAAATGTTGATCATTTTATAACTAAATATTAACTGAAAGAAAATATTATTTTTTTAAAGTTGTTTTCAAATTACATAATGGTAATTGAATAAGGAATAAAAATAAACGTTATAAGATTTTGATCATTTCATGACTTTATAATTATTTATGGAAATTTTTTTTTTTTTTGGATTTGTTTTCCGATATATAATGCTAATTTATCCAGGAATAAAATAAAGCACTACTGTTCAATGCTGACCATTTCCTGACGTAATTTATAAAAGCAAATGTTTTTTGAAGTTTTTTTAAATATTATAACGGTAATTGATAAAGAAGTAAAAATAAAGATTGTTAGATTTGGATCGTTTCATAACTTAATAATCATTCAATGAAAAAATTTATTTTTTAGGTTTTGCTTTCGAATTAAATAATGCTTATTAATAATGAAATAAAACTAAACATTATTACTAAAGGTTGATCATTCCATACCTGAATTTATCAACGGAAATGTTTTTTTTTAGTTGTTCACAAATCACATATAAATGGCAATTGCTCAAGAAATAGAAATAAACATTGTGATGTCTTTATCACTTGTTGACATAATAAATTATCCAATAAAAACGTTATTTTTCAAGTTTCATTTTCGAATTATACAAGTATAATGCTAATTAATCAGAGAATAAAAAGAAAAGATGACGGTGAAATGTTAATCATTATGTGACTGAATTTAACCAGTTTATTAAAAAAATAAAATTAATGTATCTGGAACTAAAAAAGACAATTTGTGAAAGGATTTAAAAGTTTTTTTTAAATGTTTCACAAATTTTAAAATTATATGGCTGATTTTAATGAAAGTTTTAATTATTAACTATGAAATTTGGAACTTAATTATGTCATTGTTCATAAATTTAAAATTGTTAAGCACATTAAAAAGTGTTTGACTTTCAAACACTTTTTAATGTGCTTAACAATTTTAAATGTTTGTCATAATCAAAAATGTCAGTCATCATCGAAAGTTAGATTATTAATAAGAAAGAAAAATTTCACATTTCAATTGAAAAATAAAATAAAATATTGTTAATGTAAAATATACATATAAACTATTGAAAGTTGTTTAAAGCATATTTCCAAATGGTAAAGCTAAATTATTAGGCACTTTCAAAAGTTTCACTAAGAATTTTGCTTACTTGTCAAACTTTCAAAAATTATCAGCAAATCCTTCAGAAATTTGATAATTTATTTCCTTTAAAATTAAATGCTTAACTGTGTTAACTGTGTTAAAGCTGTGTTCAGATTAAATTAAATTTCTAAAAATACTACAATTATGTTTCCACCCTAAAATGTATTCTATGATAGAATTAATTTTAATGTATAACGAATGCTGTTAAATGTGAAAAGTAGAAATAACATTAAATGATCCAAACAATAGTAAAACTACTTTAATTATTAAAAACAATTTAATCTAAGTTCAAAAAACTATTTAAACAGTTAAAATAATTATTATATTAGAAATTTTACCCATAAGAACATTGGCAAGATTTCTGAGGAAAAAAAATGCGTGAAAACGTTTTTAACTTTTGAAAACGTTTCTAACTTCAATGGTACTTTTATTACATTTTTTCTATAAAACATTTTTAATAACATTGTTTGTTTCGGTTCCTTGAAATTTCTAAATGAGATTAAGAATACTGAATAAAACTTGATATGATAAGGTGTGATCTGATCTTTTAGATTATTTAAATCTGAAAAAAGTATTTTCAAGCACCTAATATGGCGAATAAAGTTCAGGTTACCTACAAATGTAATTTCAATCTATCTATGAGTCTTAGACCAATTAAAAAACCCAGCTCTTTGTTAATCATTGTCGTTTAGTGACTTTGGCTAATTTTAAAAATCTCTAATATTTTCCAAGCATCCTAATACCTTTTAAATTTATTGCATTGAGACCAGATAATTTAAGGCTAATAAGAAAGTATATCATTTCTTTCTTAATCTGTCTGATTTATTTCAGGCCAAGTGCAATTAGTCAAGATGCTTTTATGATACTTAAAAAATGCATCATTCCTTGCTGAATTGGTCTGATTCACTATAATTACTTTTCAAAAGCGCCGACATTAATTCTAAGCTCATTGCAGCATTCATCAGCAAAATCCAGGCTAATTAAGTAATCATTTGTACATATTTTAATTAGCCTGAAGGTATACACGAGCTTATTGAATTAAGCCTGAAATTTATCAGGTTGCATAGAAAACGGTAAAAACTTTTCCATTTAATCTGACATATTACAAAACTTACATCATTTGAGGACAATGAATCAAACAATGAAATGTACAGCATATGAATGAAATGTCGACAATGAATGAAAACGACGTATATGTCGACATATATGAATGAAACACACAGAAAATATTAAAACTTTCATCATTGACCATCACTAAAATTATACTAAATGTTTTTTTAAGAAAAAGTTTCCTTACCTAGAAATCTGCTATAAAATGAAATTATCATCGTCAATGCTCAATTATACAAATTATCTGTTTATTTAGCAGATTAAAAGGATTAAAAATGTAGGCATCATGCGAAATAAATGAGCTAGTGATAAGGTTCCTTATTTAACTTTCAAAAGAAAAACATTGTCTTAGTTTATTTCTGAATAGCAAGAGTTTAATGTCAATGCCAATGTATTCTTAAAAGGAAATAATTTCACTAAACGGTATGATTTGAACTTGAGAAATGCTTGGTTCAAACACTGTTTTCATTTCACCCAAACATTTGAATTCACTGTAAGGAAAATCACACTTGATTTCAATGTCACTTTTATGGCCGAAAAAAGCTTTTATATTTCGCCAGCATAATCTTAAATTTTTCTGTTTCGAATTAATAAAAAATAAGGAAAAAATAATTTTTTCTCAGAAATTCTGTTTTTTAATATAAAACGTAAGGTTTTATTGAATATATTTCAGTTCTCACACCGTCTTTGAAGGAGTAATGTAAATTTTATCCATTTTTAATATTTATAAATGCGCATAAATACTATGAGTTTATTTTGCTTTTGACTTGAAATTACATATTTAAGAAATTTTTTTAACTATATACTCTTGAAGTTTATGAAATTCGTATTCTGTTAAAGATGCCAAATTTTATTACACCTAATTTGTTTTTATTTCCAATTCAAGGTAAGACTTTTTTATTTCATTCATTTGTAATTTGAATTTTCAATTTATGAAGATTTCTTCTAACTTAGGTGTATTAATAATATTCCTTTATTATAAAAAACTGGGGGGTTTTTTAAATTATCTTTATATATATGCATAAAACGTTTTATTGCTTGTTTGGGTAAGTCTGATAAACAAAATATTAACATATTTAACATTAAATATTTTCTTAAATTGTGTTTTAATGCTTAGACAGTGAAATATATAAGTAACATTTATACACAAATTTTTATTGAAATTTACTTTAAAAATATTGCAATTTTTTAAATTTTTAATGTCATTGAATTGTTAACAAATTTACAATATTTTGTTTTCATTTTACAGCACGTACAATTTTCTGCAAACACATAATAAATTAAGTAGCAAGTAATACAACAAATAAAATTCACAAAACATTATTTTTTAAACTAAGTTAAAACTTAACTCAAACAGTATGGTATTCAGTCCTTTCAAAAACAATTTATTTGTTTATAATATTTATAAATAGTTCATTCATTCTCATTTTACAGTAAGTGATATTCTCAACATACAAACAATAAATTTAATAGCCAGTAATACAGCAAATAAAATTCACAAAAAAATTATTCTATAAACTAAGTCAAAATTTAATTCCTCAAACATAAGATCTAGTCCTTTTAAAAACTATTTATTTTTTATTTATTTACATAAAGTATAAAACTAGCTGTTGGTGTCAATAAAATATTAAAGAAATAAGTAGAAATTAAACAAAATTTACTGAATAATTACTGAATATGAATAATCGATACATTTCATTCAAATATAAATTAGTTCATGGAAAGGCATTAAGCTGTAATATCTCATTTTAGAACTTAAAAAATTTTAGAATCAAGAAATACTTTGCATAAAAAATAATGCATTTATTTTCCTCTTTTTTATTTAAAATAAGCATTTTATTTCACTTTACAGTTTTTAAATAGTTCTAATTTAGATACTTTATTCTGATACATTAATTAATTCTGATGCATGAAATAAATTTTGAATTAAAGTTACGGGTGAGTCGAAAGTGCTTTAGAAAAACATGCCAACTTTTTAGTTTCCTTAAATGATGAAAGAACAAACATTTTACATTACACAAGATTTGATGAAATATTCTTAAATGTTGACCAGAGAAAATCAGTTCATTTTTGATGCAAGAGACTGTAGTTAAAAAACACTCTGTATAAGTCATATTAGCATAGAATAGAGATATTGTTGAATTTGAAATTAAAACATTTCTTAAATTTAGTCAATTTTTAATGTATCTTTTATTTATGTTATAGAAAAAGGTTCATTTTTGATGCAAGAGGCTGTAGTTAAGAAACACTCTGTATAAGTCATATTAGCATAGAATAAAGATATTGTTGAATTTTTAAATAAAACATTTCTTAAATTTTGTCAATTTCTACTTTATATTTTATGTTATAGATAAAGGTTCATTTTTGATGCAAGAGGCTGTAGCTGAAAAACACTCTGTATATTTCATATTGGCATAGAATAAAGATATTGTTGAATTTGTAATTAAGACACTTCTTAAATTTAGTCAATTTATGAAATATCTTTTATTTATGTTATAGAAAAAGCAAAATGGAAAGTGTTAAAGGCAAGAGAAGAGAAACGTGCACCCATCTGGAATAAGAAAGTACCAGACACAGAAATTGAACATTTCGCAAAAATCATCGAAGCTAAATATGAAGTTGAACTGAGTAATTTGTCATTTGATATTAAAATGATTTAATGCGTTATTTTTTCTAACATTTTCGATAATCAAAATGTTTTGCTCCTAACTAAGAGTGTGCTGTTTTTTAGATTGCTATTGGGATCTGCATGAATGGTCAATAAATCATATATCTGAATTTTGGGAAGAAGTCTGGCTGTATTTTGGAATAGTTTCTTCAAAACCTTTTGATCAGGTAAAAAAATAGTTTTGAAATATTTTTAGGTATATATAATTTTAAAACAATTTCTACAGAGTACTTTTAAAGAAATACAGAGAATTTTTTAAAAAAATACCTACTCGTATTTAGTAGCAGTTTGTTGGAATTATAAAATCTAATTTTTATTTCATCCATTAAGTTTTATTCCACTAAAACTATTAAGCTGACTTTTTCCTACGAATTTTGCATTCTAGCATACAAAAAATGCGTAATTTAGCATAACTCATAATTCAAAACAATTGAGTTTATTATTATTTGAAAAAACTAATAACAACAAAGAATTATTAAAAATATTGTTCTGATATTAGCAGCGAAATTTAAATGTAATATCCTAAGCCTAGAGATTCCGGAGGTGACATAAAGTGTTATATTGTACTGAAATGTATAGCTGCTAAAATCAGGAAAAAGCAATTGAAAAAAATATTTTTAAAATGATTCAAAAAAGAACCGATTTGAAATTTTAATCAGTATAAAATAATTTCATTTTGTATCGCAATATATTTTGAATTTATTACAAAAATTATACTGCTTTTAAAAACTTATTACAGCACTATTCATAGCGTACTCATTGCAGTTTTACACAGTGTAAATATGTCCAAGCAAAAAAATTTCAAAAGCTTAGTTTTTATTTATTTATTCATTTAATATTTTCTAAACTATAGTTATCTATTACTGCTATTTTAAATTAAAATAAAACAACTGACATTTCTTAAATGAAAAATGCGATTTTGTAATCTAAAATTGCATGGTAATTCATATCGTAAAATGCTTCGCCATGTCAAACAAGTATTTAAGAAAAATTCCAATTCGCATGATAAAATAAAAAGGCATGATGATGAGTAATTTAATTTTTTTAGCACTGTGCGTACTGAAAACAACAATAGATGGTGTATTATAACAAATCCGAAATATATCATTTCGTACTAAATGCACACAAACAGCACGTGAAACAGTGGGTTTTTTTTCCAAAACATGTTGACTATTCATTTTATTATTTATTTTTAAATCTGTTCAAAGTGCATCTTTGTATTCCAGGCTTTTGTAAAAACTGGACCAGGATTTTTGGACAACGAATGGTTCTCTGGTGCTGAATTTAACTATGCTGAAAACCTACTCAGAATCAGAGATAATCGCATTGCTATTATGTTCGCAGGTATTTCAACAACACTTTATTTTATTCAGTATTTTAACTTTCGAAATTCATTAACTTTCATTAAGTTACTAAATTAATTAAATGTCTGACTATCCGATGACGAAGAAGACGCACTGTAAAAAATTCCGGCATTAAATACTGGCACTTCGACTGCCATCATCCGTAAAATCCATTTGTACTGTCAAACATTAAACCGTATTTTATATCCTATAGTATGCTGTAATTTTTACAATAATTAAGGCTCACTCCAGTATGGCGACATGGAGACAATTTTCAACAAATGTCGCTAAAATTCTACGTATAGGCGAGAAATTTGCCGCCTTGAAATATGCCTGGAATTTAGAGTAACAAAAAATAGTTTCTTTGCGTTTAATTCCATGCATTTAAAAACAATTATTGAGCTAATTTTATTGTTTTACACATGGTATGGACTTAAGATGCGTAGTTATTACTAGAAATGACTGATACAAAAAATTTTGAAATTAAATGTTGAAATTTCAAATTTACATGTTTTGTTGTGATTTGCACATGTAATGATAGTATAGTTCATCAATTAAATTATGTTTTTAGCTCTTTTAAAATTGACTTCATTCAAAATTTTATAATTTTTAGGTAATTAATTTTTAATATTATAATTTGCTAGTTCTTACTTTCTCTGTTTTCCTCATTTGTTTATTTATCTGGTCTCAGCATTTTAATCTCTTTGCTAAATCCATTTAATAAAATTATTTTACCTTTACTTCATTTAATTTTAATAAATACCAATCCTTAATCATTATGGGATAATTAATTTTAGGATGTTATAAATGGCATTTTTTATGTGTTCCATAACATGAATTATATACTTATGAAGTTCAATTTTTTCTCAAATTTATGTACCATATTAAGTTTTTGGTACGCTAAATGAATACCTAGGTGGGCCTATTGGACCACTAAATTTTCCTTGCTGTCGTGAACCTTAACAAAAATATTTATTTAATTAAAGTGGCTCAATAATTTATTAGTGTATAAATCATGGTTTATCATTATTTTTTGTTTCGTAAAATGTTCCGGTAGAAATGGATTTTAAGGTAAAAAGTACAAGCAGCCAGGGTTCCAGTACTTTTAACCTTGTCCCACAGTGGACTGATCATAAAGACATGGTTCCCGGAGTAGAACACCGAAGTCAAGCATCACAACTGCTTTCAGTAAGCGGGTGGGTTACCACTTTGATCAACCTGCGTAGGAACCGAGGGTGCGCGGTATCGGTCCTAGTTAAACTGTTCTAGCATAAAGTGCTCGACAAAGGAGCCATCCCTATTGCAGAGGATCAAAATTGCGATGGCATATCTTCGGATCATCCTCAAACATGTTTCCCAAACCGTCGCCTATAGCCATTTGTACAGCTCTAGTACGACGTAAATAAAATACCTACCTACTTTTAACCTTAATTTGATCAGGAATTTTTGCTTGTAATGTCTGCTTCTGCAAATTTCAAACCAGCAGCAGTCCTCTCCCCGATAGGCGGATGTTGCGTCACGCATCAACTTTAATCATAATTATAATATTCCCATGGTTTCATACGTTTCTAATGAAGTCAACAACAAAATCACTACTTCAACTAGTTTGTGAGGTTTAGGTGATTCCATACCTGTAGCCTGTAATATTTTTACCTTTATTAGATCCAGAATTCGTTAGAGCATTATTTTTTTATCATTTAAAATTACAAAATGATGTTGCACGTGGCATACTTTTTCATAAAACTCAAGAAATAAAAGAATTGTATAGGTATCTTATGACATTTCATAAAATATAATGATTTTACTTCAAAATCATAAATTTAGTTAGTTTTGTTCAAAATTAATTTTTGAAGTTATACTTCTTATGCGATTTCCAACAAGGTTGCGTGATATTTAATTACTTAAAGAAGTTAGGGGGGCCGTGGTAGCTTAGATTCGGAACGGCCTGAGTTGGATCTTCGATTCCAATAAAATCCACCGAATACATGCGATATATTTAATCTGAGGAATCGAAAGTCCTGTGGTGGGTTGCTGAGAAGTACCGTGGGTACAGAGATCTGGTGAAATTCTCCTTCCACTTCAGATCTATGTCTAAATCGAAGAAGTGGCCTCACAAAAAAGATCCTCTCTGCAGAGGGTCAAAATTGTGATGGCATGTCTTCGGATCATGTTCAGGGATGTTTTTCAGATCGTCGCCAATGCCCATCGTACAGATCTAATGCGATGTAAATAAAGTTCTTGCCTACATAAAGATGTTAGACTTTTTTTTCTCCTTGCCTATTTTTTTTAGCTTCATTCATTTTGGTTTTGTTCCAATTCATTATTTTAGCCACAACTTTCTTGTGCTATATAATAAAAAAATCCTTCGAATTATGATAATAATAATTCAATTATGGTTTAATTTTGCTTTCTTTTGTTTCAGATGAGCATGGAAATTTCGAAACAGTTACATTTGCTGAAATGTTTGAAGAAGTAAAATTATATGCTGCTGCATTTCGAAAAAATGGTCTTCAAAAAGGTGATAGAGTGGCATGTAAGTTTTGAAAAAAAAAAATTTAAACAATGCATAATCTTAAGCTGCATTATAAGCATTTTTGTCTTTTATTTTAATATATCAAGCCCAGCTAATATAAAATAACCACTTTAATTTTTTACGGTCGCATTATTTTTTTTTACATTATTTTATTACTAACTTTATTATACTTCCAAAATATTTACAATCAAAGTAGAAGTTATAAATTTAGCAATTATATGCACTTTAATTATAATATTTATTTTCCTTATTTTAGTAGCAAATTCGGGTAACATTGATTGTTAATTAGCTTATAGTTCCTATTCATTCAGCAATGAACCGTGTAAAGTTATGCACAGCTGTAAGCACGTCATTTCCGGGTTATTACTTCCGACTGATTTTTATGTCTAAGCTTGAGAAAACGCCCCAATATTATTATACTTGTAGTGTCTACAAAACATTCGTCCAATCTACCTTTCAACGAAGCAAACACCAAATCAATTCGAAAGTCTCCGTAAACTTGTTATGATGTTACCCAAAAAACAACAAACGGTGCTATTTTACACAAACATAGCCAAATAAGGGACAACACGCAAAACATGACTATCCTTACACTTTATTTATGCTGTAATATTAATTTTGTTAAATTTGTTTAAGACTCATGACCTGTTAGAATATATAAATTACAGAAAACTCTTATGAATGGTAAAATTACGCGTAAATTTTAGCAAAAATCACATCATAAAACTTTCAACTTTCTCCAATATTAAGCCTGTTAACACATCGCATCGTAAGCATAACATATGCGGAGGGATACACCGGAAGTTTTTTTACATTTCTTTCGGTTTTAGGAAGCTTGTTATCGTCTACATTCAGTCAACCAGCCATAAGTAACTTTGAATTAAAATTTTATTGTAATCATTAAATTCTGATGAACTAATTAATCAACAAAATTTATTGAATTTAGACGCTAATAGGAACTAAAAATCTATCGTTACCAATCAACTACACAGTTAAGAATCCTGGATCAATCAACAGTAAAACTTACCGGCACTCAAGACGCGGGTACATTTTAGAGTGAGATCCACTATTATCGGAACATATTACGAAACAAAAAATCATGTAAACCGTAACTGTTAAAGTAATAATTACAATTAAATCACTGAATCATTCGAATTAAATAAATATTACTGTGAAATTACGGCGTAATATTTTACGGTATAAATGGATTTTACGTTAAAAAAGATTCTACAGATGATGCACTCAAAGTGTGGTCAAAGTACTTTATAACTCAATTTGATTCAGAATTTCTTAGTGTAAGTGTTTCTCAAGGTATTACAAGTATTTAAAAAAAATACCAATTTTATTCATTTATTAAAAAAATTGAAAAATGCTATACTTATTTGAGACGCCAAAATTTTTTTACGTAATTTCTATTTAATTTTTTCGTTTGTATCATTTAAAACCATTATAGTTCATTTTCGTTTTAATAAAATAAGAACTTGTTTCATCAAATTCACCAAAGTATATGAGAAAAAACAATATTAAGAATAAGTACTGATATAAATCTATATGCATTATCGTATATGTAATATTTTTAACAATTCTTTTTCTCAACTTCACATATTTCATCAAGAGTAATATGAAAAAATTAAATATTATATAATGAATTTGATTTTACTTATGCTATTTCAAATGCAATAAAATCATATATGGTGATTTATTTTTGATTTTCAAATAGGTTACATGTCCAATTTAAAGGAAGCCGTGTATGCCATGTTAGCAGCTGTAAGCATTGGTGCAATATGGGGAGGTCCACAACCATATTACGGTGCACGGGTAAGATGTTTCAAATATACAAATTAATATTTCAGTTTCAAACTAATTTTATAAATTCATTTCGCTCAAAACAATTAATTTAAAAGAAAATTTACTTACGCAAAAAAAATTTGCTTGTGAAGAGAAACATTAGTCAAACTCACTTTTGACAATTCAGCAATCCTTGAACTATATTTCTTTTATTTTGAGAATCATTTCGTCATAAAATCACGTGATTTGTGAAAAAGCGGGAACTATCGAATATATGACGAAAATGTTTCCTCAACTTGAAATCTCATCGTAGTGCATTATGGGAGATTTCTAACTAGAATGATGAAACTAGGCTGAAGACTAGACCATCGAAAATGAAGTAACGAAATAAGTCAACCGGCCTGTATAGTTATCAAGGAATTGTACTCGTATGAGGAAGATCATGGGTTTGAATCCTGCTTCAGGCATGGGTTCAATTTATCTCTCTGTTTTATGTGTCATTTTTGTGTTGTTAAAGCCACATTCATCCAACTAAAAAGGGATACGATAAAGTAGTGATTATTAGAAAGCTTAGATACAGTAGGCACTGCAAGGTTTTTTTTCCGGGAAAAAACAGAATGACAAAATATTTCTTTATTATTGCCGGAATTCGTTTCCTCGAAGAAGAGGCGGTTGTTATTTCGTCACTTTGACGAAATGTTAGCTCGGAGCATGAAGCAGGAAGCGGATTCATCAAAAAGGGATTAGTGAAATTTGAGTATCCATTTTTAATAGTGCATATTATCACCTCCCGATACTAAATTCTAAATAGCAAATAGGCAATAGACATTGATTTATTACTTTATAATATTTTCAATTTATATACCACTATACTCTCCTTCTTAATATTTTCTTTTTCTTAAAATCTATTTTAAAAATTGCTAAAGAGGAACTCAGGAACGATAAAATTTAAATTTTGTAATTCTCGGTGATATTTTGTGTGGTGACGTACAGTGCGCAAAATAAAAAAAAAAAAAACCGGATCACCCTGAATAACTTTTGATCTAATAATCGGATCTTCACGCTCTAGAACTCTATCATAATGGTTCGAGGGTCTGTCCTCAAATCTGCTAACTAATTAGAGAAGATATTTTAAGTTACCAAATCAGACACAGAATTTTATAACATTCTATAAAACCATATTTTATGGTTAAGTTTACTAAAATTATTACCAAAGTGCGTTCGTAAAAATTATTATGCTTTTTATGTTCCTATAGAACCAAAAACACGGTAAATTTTACCATATTCTGGTAGTTTTGACCTAATTTTTGTCTCAATATGAATAAGTTAAAGTGATAAAATAAATAAATATAAAATTGCATGTAGACTAAAAAACAGCTTTAATTACCAACCATTAGATTTCAATTTCTTTCTTTGCTGTAATTATGAGGTTCATCAGTTTTATTGAATTATTTATTTTCAAAATGAAGCATAGCTATAATATCTTCTTCAGCTTTCAAACATAGTTCTTGTGATTAAAAAAAACATCTAAAATATAAAATAACTCTTTATTTCTTTTTTAATTTTTAGGCCTCGGCTAAGATTGTTGAGAGAATGGAGCCAAAGTTTTTGATCGCAGTTGATCAGCACAGTGAAAGTGGTGATGTGTTCAACATGCTAAAAAACCTTCCAACAATTGTTGACAGTAAGTCAAAACTTTTCTTTTCTGTAGTTCCCATTGAAATTCAACTCACATATTTTGTTTAGTTTTTTTAATAATTATATAGTTCAATTTATTTGTAGAAATCGCATGGAGAAAAAATTCTTAAATAAAATTACCATGCTATGCGGTAATGGCAATTCTGCTAAAAAGGTAAATAAAGCCTAAATATATCGTATTTATAAATCACTCATTTTGCGATTTTTCCGTTCATATCGTAGCAGTTTACCGGAAACTCAGATTTTCAAAATTGTAGTTTTTATTATCAAGCATTTGGAAAAAATAGAAAACTGAAAAGCAAATTTTTCCGAATAAATGGTTTTCCTGCCATGTCATAAGAAATCATGATTAAATTATCAAATATTATCACATTAATTAAATCTAAATTGCTAAATATTAGCACATATTATAACACTATAGTTCATAGTTAGTTTAACCGCAATCATTACCAAAGCTCTTCGATAAAAATTACCGAGCTCCTTGTTGTTCCCATTAAGCTACAAATGTTAGTTTAGACCAATTTTTTTTGTAAGCGTGGATGAAACAAAGTTTAATTAGGACTATTTTTACTACACAATATTATACTGGACCGAATTTCACTTTAGAATGAATCTTAGGTAATATTGTTTTCTACACAACTCCGTTTACGAATTTGAAATAAAAAAATAATTTCCAATAATATCATATTAATGGAAAATTTAGGTTTTACAGGTTTAGGTTCAATTAGGTTTAGTAGGTAAAATTTAGGTTTAGGTTCTCTCTAACTTTTGCTTCAGTTGTAGCAGCAAACGGAAAGATATATATGCAGGAAAACACGCCAAAATCATAGTTTTGTGCTAAAAGAAATAAAAGAAGTAGTTATGTTTAGCACGCCAAATAGCATCTATTTATCTATTTATACGCATCTATTTATAGCATTTCATAAATGTATTATTCAAGGAATTCTTTCAGGAAGAGCTCCAATTTTAGAAGTAAAAACAGATCCCGTAATTGCAATAAAAAATACTAGTAATAATTTCGACTATTAGAGAATTATTTCCTTTACTAAAACGTCACTTTTCTTTTTGTCACTAATAGAACTCTTTTACAATTTTTTTCATCTACAGCTAAAAAATCATTATACTTTTTACCGACTTTCACCTAACAGATGTGATACAGTTTATAAATTGTTTTACAAAGAAAATATTTAAAAAATGATTCTTTAGGAACGTGAAACTTCCATTAACTCTTTTTAGTTCATTAAAACTTCTTATTGCTTTCTGAGTTTCATGGATGCACTGTAAAAATATTCCAAATCAAATTAAGGAAAAAAAATTAATTTTTACTGGAACATTTCACTGAACAAAAAATTCGACTCTATCGTACTTTTTACAGTAATAATTACCATAAAATCAATGAATCACTCGAATTAAATTAATATTACTCTAAAAAATTACGGTAAAATTGGATTTTATGGCTAATGCACCTAAAGCGCCGATAATACACCGCAATTTGATCCGGAATTTTTTACTGTGTACGCATTTCCTGCGTTATTCAAAAATTTAAACACCAGTTCTAAATCCGAATGAAGATAGGGTATACTTTATGCTATGTATAAATACAGTAAAACAACGTGAATAAATCACAAATAAAGATACATAAATAGGTGAAATAAGTAGCTTTAGTTGTGCTTTACTCACGCTGTTTTGTTTTATTCATCAGTCATCAGTTCTAAATTTTATTACCCAACTATTTGTAACTATAGAAATTTTTAAGAAAACATGTTAAATGAAATTTCAGTGATTTTGTAGAATTATCGATTTGTACAAGAGAAAGTGTCTTGCAAGTATTCTTTTTGTGCTGAAACCCTCTACTTGTTTAAATAAATTATTGTTACATTCTTACAATCGATTACAGCTTGTTTTTGAACTTTAAAACTTGAGCTTCTCAAAATATCACTTAACATGTACTCTGAGTAATATAACTTACTAATATAAGTTATATATTAAGATAATAATAACTAATATGCTATTATAATAAAGACTAATATAATAATAACTATTTAATAAGCTATATAATAATGACTAATATGCGTACTAATATAATCGTTATTATAATAATATTAACTATTATAATTATAACTAATTTGTTAATATAATGATGACTAAGATATTAATATAATTATGACTATAATAATAATAACTAATATAATAACAACTAATATACTAATATAACTTATTCCCCAACTATTTTTTATTAAAGAGCTTCATGGGAGAACATATTAAGGGACATTTCAGTCATTTTTGTGGAATTATAACTTTGTACAAGAGAAAGGAGCTTGCATGTACTTTTTTTGTGTATTAAAAACCTCTATTTGTATTAAATACCTGTTTAAATAAATTATTATTATATTCTTACACTCGACTACAACATTTTTTCAACCTTTAAAAAAAGAAAATTTCAAAATATCATTTAACACATACTCTAAGCTCTTCCACTGTTAGCATAATTCAAATTATTTAAAAAAAAATATGTTTTTAGGTACGCCTTCCTTGGAGAAAGTTATTATTGTTCCAACCAAAAAAGAAACTTTGTCTAAAGATTTATCTAACATTCGGAATAGGTGAGTAAATATCTCTTATATTTACATTTCTGTGTGAAAAAATCGAAGGCTAATTGAGACAAACATTTGACAAGATTTCGCGCCAAGGAAAATGAAAAAGTCACAGTAAGTTCAAGTGTCTTACACTTGAAGCAAACCTATAATTTTAAACTGTATATACCATCTTGCTGCAAAGAATTACCTGGGTTTAGAACGAGCTAATAACTAAACTATTTTTAAAAAAATTCCAATGGCTGGCACTGAATTTGAATCTTTGCCTATACTATGCCAGAATTGTTGCTCATTTCACGTTACCCAGTGGGCACCTGTGAACCAAAGTCACGGAGGCGAGCAACATTGCCCACGCCACACTGCCACAAACCCGTTTTTATAGGGTGGGCCACATTCACACATCATACACACAACAGAGGACAGCACAAAGAGAGAGAGAAACATCCATGCCCAGAGCGGGATTCGAACCCGCAGCCTATGGCGCCGCAGTCAGGCACGCTAACCGCTCGGCCACCAGGCCGGCTATTATTTTAAATTAATAAACTGTTTTTAAGAAATCATCAATATGGTGAAATTTTTGCACCTCGATGAAAGTTATTAAAATCAATGCCTTATTCTCTAAAGTTTAGCTAAGCCCAAATAATGCAACATTTGTGTAAGTTTTTAAATATTAAAAATTAGACCACAGGCGTTTTCCGTTTATTCAAATTGGTGACTTTTCACAGTATTAACGTTTTGCGCCATTTTCACAATAAATATATTTAGCATTGGCCAAAGATAAACTAAACTTGTCCTATCAGTCATGAGTAACTGTTGCAAGCTCACATCAGATATGAAAATAGTATATTATTCGCAAAAACTCATCACTTCATGCAACGACAGATCCCTCGAAAAGCAGACTTAATATTTGAAAATTAAGGAAGACCAAGAAGTATCTTCCTGTAAAACGAACTTTCTAAATCTCTAATCAGTTGATGGAATAGTTTTCGCATCCCGAGTTGGAGTGTGCAAAGTGAGAGTAAAGCGAATTGGTAAAATTTATTCAAGCGATTCAAGGAAATTCAGGGAAGGGTGACGCGTAAGAGAGGAGAGCGTAAGATTCTTTATGTGACGTGTTGTAGAAAATAAAATAACAAAAGTTTAGCTTATTTAAAGTGCATTCTATCGTATTGAACTAAAGAATTAAAATAGTATACTAGTTTGGAACGCTTTAACTTTCCCTACCTATGAAAAAGTGAACTCTTCTGCTCAGCTTTTTCGCCACACACCAACCTTTTATGATTGAATAATACTCTATTTTCCAAACCGGTAAAAATACCTACGTTAAATAAATTTAGTTCATTTCTTTCAAATTTATGCAACATTTTACTTCCTCTCATTATTTAGTTGCTTCCTAGAAGACTTTTTGAATGAAGGTAGGTTGCCAGATGGATCTGTTCCTGACATAGTGTTCGAACAACTACCACCCACTCACCCAGTGTCTATCTCGTTCTCCTCAGGAACGACTGGACTACCAAAAGGACCAGTCCACTCTGCCTGTGTAAGAAATACTTTTCATTTCTCCAGTATTTTAGCATTTTTTTTAAATAAATCAATTTTTCAATAAAATTAGTCAGTTCATACTAAACACAAGGTGGTACTTCCTATTACTGTTACTATTCTAAAATGCCGACTGACCTGTGTAGGGGTCAGGGCACTGATCTTGCATCAGAAAAGTTCTGGGCTCGAATCCCGGACAAGGCATGGATGTTCTTTCCTTCTCTGTACTATCTGTCCTTACTGTGGGAGTAACGTTGACCCACTTAATATGGTGCCCCTGAAAGAGTGGTCAACAAATCTGCCCTTCAGATGCCTAAATGACTTAGGTCATTCTCCCAGAAGGGCATTGGGGGAAAAAATATTATAAAATAAATAATAATATTTGAGCTTCGAATATGAATGAAAATTAACTTCTTACATACAAAACGCTTAAATTATTCAAAATTAATCATTCCTTTACTTATCAATCAGAGGAGCTGTTTTTCAGCAGTCTTTGATAATGAGTTCAAAGGGAAACACAACTATGAAATGATATGTAGATGGTCTTTTTCTATTATTTTTTACTACAGTCGAACGTTAAGGGGAGAGCTCGCTTCCCAGTGAGATGACACAGGTTCAAATCCCAGCTATGACTGGTTTATACGAATTCTGCACCCGTCTCGCACTGACCACAGTTACATGAAATATCCCCAGTGGTAGACGGACCATAGGTTGGAATCCTCTCATCATCAAAGTAACCGTGGGAAGTTTTCGGTATTTTTCGGTGTAGCGCAAATTCAGGTTAGTTCCATCAAAAAGTTTTCCACGAAGGCAAATTTCTCCTAATATTTCATCCAGGAGTTTCCTTGTCTTTTGGATTCAAAATTACCAGAACATTTGTAGTTGTAAACTCAAAATTGGATCGTCTGTTTAACGATGGTCATAAAATGAAATAAAATGTACGAGAGTGGACCACGTGCACCTTGGAGCAGATAAATTTTGCATTTCTTATAATATAGTGGATACCTGTAACAAAAGGTACTATCTGTTTTGATGTGGGCCATTACAAATTTTCCAAGCATCTACTAGACAAAAACTAGACAGAGCAAGACCCTGTAAAAGTCACATTTAAAAACAGAACTAAAGTGGATTAGTAACAAAATGTCGTTTTCTTTAATATAGAATACCGATTTTTGCTTTGTTTTTTTTTTTTTAAATTAAAAAAAAGAAAAATATATATATATATATAAAAGAACAGGTTATTTTTGTTAAGCCTAACAAAATCAAAAAATTGTGTTTGCTTAGAAAACTCTCTCATTGTATCTTTGAACGGTTCAAGTTATGCGCTACAATCTAATTAGCACAAATACGTTTTCCTATTCACTATACCACTCACAATATCTTAAAAAATTCTATGTTTTTTAAAAAATTATCCATTTTCAAGCATTCCACTAAATTAGTAAAACATTTATGGTTAACTTGATTCAGTTTAGCTAAATGAAAAATATCTTTTAATTGCATGAATGCCCAAATTTAATCAAGCGCCAATTTTTAAAAGAAAAAACTCGAAATCAGTGGAAGGAATAAAGTTCAATGATCCAAGGTGCGCTATGTGGTGATCTAAAATACAAGACTAAGACATTAAACCAACTTTTCTTTGAGTAACAAAATATTTTTTCCTCAAAAACATTACATTAGTTGCCCGAAAAAAATTTTAGTAATATACGAAATTTTTAAATCAGTTGAATTATTACACTTTGCATAAAAAAAATTCAAAATCGGTCTAAGGTACAACACTCTCCCTTGAATATAAATTTTAAAACTGATTTAAATAAATATTTTATAAAAAAATACTTATTTATTATAAGCTTTATTATTATAAAACATCTCTGTGTGTACTGAATTGGAGATTGATTATCTATTTCAGGTCAAAATTATGATCTGAAAATGAATGGATGTATGAATGGGTCCACCCTAAAAATGGACTGTGACGTGTGCGTGACTGTAATTGTATTTTTGGCCATAGATGGCATCACTGAGAAACTAGAAATGCACCCCCTGCCTTAAATTCGCTTGATTTCACCAAGCAGGCTTGCTTAAATTGACAATATTTTTTCTTTCATTTGCAGACACTTTTATCTTGGATTGTTGATATTGGATTCCACTGGAATTTGAAATGCGGGGACACGCTTTTCAGCTCATACTCTGTAAGTCATTTTTTCTCTATCATATTATCAGTTAAGAAATAAATGCGTCTGCAAGCATGCACGATTTTAGTGATTTCTTTAGTAATTTTTAACATTATAGTTATATAAATAAGTCTTATAAACCCATGTGTCTCGCACGGCATGTTCTCATGTCAATCATGTTTTCTCATCTTTATCAATGTTTTCCTCTTCTTACCACTTACACGGGGAAAATATTACTTCCGAGNATTAATGTTAGTTTAATGTAACAGCATTAGAATAATATTAATTTAAGTAGTTTACGAACATATACTTTTGGAAAAATTTTCATTCAGATTTCAAACTCTTACGAGCATTTTAATGTTTTGATATTAATTTCCAAATCAATTGTTACTTTGTGAAACACTTTTAACTTTAAGAATACGCTGTATTTCGTGTAAATTTTTGATATACTAGGGTAAGGGCTTTTTCAATGTTTTATGTAAGCTTTTTTTGTATTCAATTTTTGACATCACATTGGAAGATGTTAGATGTCAATTCAAATCTTCGTTCTCTTAAATGCATAATTTTTTTTTTGAATTTTAAATGCTCGTTTATAAATTTTGAACGAAATTAAGGAAAAAGATATTTGATCCTAACATACATAAAAAAACTAATATCTAGAACATTTAAACTTAAATACATTCCCATTGATATTTTTCAGATTCCGATGCAAAATTTGAGCATTTGAAAATGATAGCAATGGGAGGAAGTCCAGTAAAACCTGAAAACTTTGAATACATCCGACGCATTGTGGGAAAAAATACTTTTATTGGCAGTATGTATGGTGAGTACTTCTTGTAAAATGTTTTTCATTTATTAAATGGTTTTTATTTATTACTTATCATTTTGGCAACTAATTACGTGGTCTCCAATACTTTTCCAAAAGACAATTAAGAGGAAATACTGCGGACTATTCGTCAAAATAATTAACAGTCATATCTTGTCCAGCTAAATACAAAATACAAATAAATATGTGTCGATGATACTAAAGTGATGCAAATAGGCATGGAGAAAGTCTTACGAAAGTCAACAGTCTATTAAAGCCCTAGATACGGAGCTATAGTAACGACACGACATCATTATAGGAAAACCGCAACTCTATTCTAATGTTAGCAATGAAGAAATACGGAGTTTCTTTTGTTAAACGCCACTTTTTATTGATTAACATTTTCATATTTTTTAAGATAACTTAAATATTATCTAAGAATTCAAGGGCTCTGCAGTTTATAAGTTGCCACCACAGCCACATGAGGAGCACCCGGAACAAAATGGGAAATTGTGCCGGGAACACTCCCAGTATAACGAATACTAAACAAAGACTTCTAATGATTCAATATATATCAACAAGGAACCTTACCTTGTTTAGGTTTCTTGTTCTGCCTTCCCCTAGTATTCTCTTCCAAGGTCTTGGGCTGTAGATAACTAATACACTTAGGCTGAAAATACTTCGCACAAGACGTTTAAGAATTAAATTTAATAATTAATCATGATAAAAAAAGGGAAAGCTATTTTCAGTTGAAAAGAGTTGTACGTTGTTCACAATAAATTCATAGCTAGACCACGCTCGTGGAGAAAAAGTTCGTAATTGAATGTTTCTGTATTTGTCCGCTAGGGGGGATCGAGGCATTCTCAACACCCAGTATTTAAATTAAGAGGAATGAGGGGTCTTTGAATGAAAGCACCGTTGAAAGACTCTTCTCCATTTTTGAAATTAAGGACAAATTTCTGGTTGATTTCTGATTTAAAATGAGATTTTTTTTTCAGACAGCATGCTGGAAGAAATAGCAAATTTTGTGTCACACAGAAGGCACCGCGAAAAAACCTACTGTTTTACTACCCAAAACGCCTTTTTCTGCAATGTTATTGGTTCAGTATAATTAGATATCTGTTCACTTGCAGATAAAATGTCCACTCATTTATTACTTTCTTCTGCAAGTCTTTATCCTTAACATCAATTAAAGTTAATCAGTTTCCACACCCCTAACTTTAAATATTTGAAATAATTCAAAGAACAGTTTATTTGAAAAGTATTAAGAAAAATTATTCAAAAAAAAAGTAGAATGAGTTCTCTAATTGCAACTCTCAAAATAGTAGTTCTCTAAAATCTCCGTAAGATATTTCGAAAACGTTTATTTAAAATTAAATCCTTTGAATGAACATTTTACTATATGTTGAATAAAATTGCAATTAATCGATAACCACTTTATTTGTTAAATTAGTTAAAATAATTATAAAAAGCAGCACAATGTTTGTAGTTTAAACTTTCTATAAAAGTCTTGCATTATATTGCGTGCAACTGCTATAGTTCTTCATTCACTTAGGAGACAGGGGCTCAAACTTGTCCCTAGTCCACCCCAATCTGTGAATATAAATATTTGTTTTTAATAGATATATATTTCGAAAATAACTGTTCAGTACCACTTTGAATGTAACTCTAATGAACGCAAAATGTTCCTCGTGGAGTAAAAGCAGCAAATTGTAATACTTTAACCGCTTCCCTTACTAATTTTTTTTTTGAAGAAAAAAATGCAAGAACTCAACAATTTCTTTATTGATTAATAAATACAAGGAACTAAAACAAAGCATAATACACAAGTTTTAAGCTGAAATTTTAATTTTGTTATATGTATAAAACATTTAATTTACCATCAGTTTACTATTCCGAGTTATAAGAGGCAAATGTAAAAAGTTAAATATTAGTTTTTGCATATATTCACATCTTCATACTCTGAAAACTCATCTGCATTGCTTTCACTTTCTTCCTCGAACGCCATTTTTCTTGACTTTTTTTCCATGTAAGTTCAACAATCATCGTATATACAATCACAGAATACACGCGTGCAGTCTCACAATCCAACAGCAAAACTAGCAAATCCTAGCAAATTTCCAATCACAGCAGATTTTTTTTTTTTTTTTTGCTTACGACCGTGTAAAAACGTGATAAAACAAAACACACTGATAAATTCTGCTACACCCGAGTTTTCTCGGGATAATAAATACTTGAAATATGTGCATACCCGAGTTAACTCGTGATAATAACAGTTGTTTTTGCTTTGTGCAGGAGCTACGGAAACGAGTGGTACATTTTCAGGATTTTCTCTTAACTTGCCGACGTATCCAGGAGAAGTTCAAGTTCCAGCATTAGGAAAAGATATACAATGCCTCAATGAAGAAGGTAAGACCAGTTAATCAAAACACAAAGTTTATTTTTTTAAAAATTGCTAACTTTTCTCTCTTAGTCCGGTTCTTTTTCAAAAAGAAACAGTAGGGCAATTGAAAAAGTTAAAATTGCAGCTCTCCCTTTATGTTGGATTTAAGCTGATTTTTGCTAATCATGAAATTTGAATTTGAACCTGAGAATATTCTTAAATCATTCAACGACAATGACGTCATTTTAAGCAATATTCCGTTTTTTGAAGAAGTAATTGTGAAAATAAATTTTACAGTAATGAATAATTAAGTAAATTTGATTATTGTTGTTTCAATAGGCATCTCCATCATTCAGGAACCTCGACATCCATAAATGGTCATTGTCTATTTTCATTCTTTTAATATTATAGAAAAGTGTTAAATTTATTCGTACGGTAATAATTTTTATAATTTTGATTAGTTGTAATAATTATTATTTGTCATAATTTCGTTCGGTGAAGTTTAAAAATTTTTTAATATTTTTTAGTCACCAGAACCTAAATGCATATATTTTAATTACTGTTTATACCTAAAATCTTTCTCGCCTACTTCTACTTTTAAGAAGGACAAATTCGATGAAAAATTTTATTACTTTAAAGAGACAGTTGGTGCAAAGGAGTTAAAGAGTAGAATTCAACTTAATATTTTTTTAAACTTCTATAGTGACGCTGTTTTTCTGTTAACTACTTTTCTCTTTGAAGATTTCGTAATCGTTAAATAGTGAACATATCTTTCACGAAAAAATATCTTTCTATTTATTTATTCATATTTTTGTTTGTTTGGCTATTTGTTTTTATTTTAATCTTGACAACTTTTTTGCTTATATTTAAAAAAAAAATAAGAACATAAAAAGAGAAAACATATGAAAAGGAATGTAAAAAAATGGGAATTTTTCTCGTATTTATTCGGGTACAAATAAATAAATGGAAGGTAATTAAAAAGGAAAAAACATCTCTATCTTTAAAATAATTTAAGCGTTAAATCTTGGAAACAATGGGATTTGAAAAAATTAATAATTTTAAATAAAAATGAATTCATTTCAAGATAAAACTTAATCATCAACCATAAAAGATATTGATAAGCAAACATTTATCAAGCGACTAGTTACTAAGAAATAAAATAGTTAATTCTTTCAATTACTTTATTTTGTTTTTCAATTGACAGGAGAACCTGTGATTGGTCAGAGAGGAGAAATGGTTGTAAGGTCACCTAATCCATCATTCCCAGCTTATCTCTGGAAAGATGATGATAAGAAAGTATTGAACTCTAACTACTTTTCAAAATATCCTGGTAAGTACAAAGTTCATTAAGTTCATTAAACTATTTTAGATTGATTTCGATAAATTTATTCAGCTAAATTCAAGACATTTAATATTTAAATAAGAAAACATCGTTATATTATTACGAGAGTGCTGCTTCATGAAAATACTAAATTTCATTAAAAATAGTGTTTAAAATTACAAATGGTAAAACGTTTATTAAAATCTATATGCGTGTCGGTGACACAATGATGCGCTTTCTTCAAGGTGTACCGTTTTGTCACCGAAACGCGTATAAATTTTAAAGCAATTTTTACCATTTGTTATAGTTATTTAATTTTGAGAATTTCTTCATATCTATCTAATAATTGCAATTTTGTATAAAAGGGTCTTCAAAAATTCTACAAAATATGAAAATAAGGCTTTTTGTGCTTTAGAAAAGGTCCCACAATGAACTTTGTCCTGTGGCCCATAAAACCTTTGTTCACGTTTAGATGTAGTTATCCTCTTACTCCTATACACTTAAGCTTTAGTGAGAAGATCATGGCACTGGAGCAGGTAGTACCCGGTCTTACCCCTCAAACAGAAGTTATCGAAATGAGACTAAACAGCGGGCTAAATCTTTATTGTTTGTTAGGGTATAAACCTTTAGCAAACATATAATAGGCTGGACTAAAAATAATTTCCATAATTGCAATAACCAGTAAATGATGACTAAATACTAGAGACCATTAGAGAGTTGACATAGTAAAACAATACGCCGTCAATCAACAACAATGCGCCAATATAGTCTTCCTGACTAGTAAAGCTTGTCCGCTGGGAAACAAAAATATTTTCCACACAATCGAAGTACTAGACTATATCCCACCACCCGGTCTTACCCCACTCTCCCCTCTAGTAATATGTAAAAAATTTCCGCATACTCAGTATATAATAAAATATATTATTTCAGGAGTCTGGTGTCAAAATGACGTATGTTTAGTTAATCCTGTTACTAAGGGAATCGTTGTGATTGGCAGAAGGTGAGAAATTACCCCGACTTATTTAACACTTATATAAATTGGTAAATGTGTCATTTAACTCTGTTTTGTCACCGAAACNTGGTTTTTTTTTTTTATTCCAGTGATGATACAATTACTCAATATGGTGATCGCTTTGGATCTGGAGATATTTATTTCGCTAGTAAGTATAAACTAGTAAATGAAAATTTAGTTTTAATTTTAACTTAATTATATTTTCAACAAAAAACAATTTCAGAACATATTTACTAGTCCAATAATGTTAAAATTCAAAACCTATTTTAAAGATCGTGCAGATGCTGGAAGCATCAAACAACACACTATGCCATTGCTCAAAATTGCGAAGCATGTTGAACCAAATTATAGCTCAAATTCACTGCAGAGTTTATGTGTTTCTAAGTTGAATCATACACTGAGGAAAAAAGTATGGTGAAAATTATCAGAATGCAATAACACTTATTGTGTCTTTGGCTCTATGGTAACACCAAAAAGCTCGGTAATTTTTAAGGAAGCACTTTAGTAATGATCTTGATAAATTTACTTCTCAGTTTTGTATTTTTAACTAGACGTGTGGTAATAAGAGTCATAATTTTGAAAATCAGAATTTCTGCCATCATGGATCACTAGGGAGCCATGAAATAGCTTAATCACGAACTATTTCTTTACGCTGTTCTTAGATTTTTTTTAGGGAGTACTGTTTTCTTTTAAGACCGTGGTTGAAAAGCCGACCCCATTTTAAGACTACCAATGTTCAAATCCGTAGCCTTGTAATTTTGAACCCAATCCAGAGGACAAGAAAACTCCTGGATCAAATATTGGCAGAAATTTACCTTTCGTGGAGGACTTTTTGAAGGAACTAACCAGCATTTGCATTACATGGAGAAGAAAACCACGAAATTATCCCCCGTTAACATATGATTCGTATACCACTGCGGATATTTTAAGTCATCACAGTGGTTGGTGCGTTCCAGGTGCGGAATTCGTTGCGTCCAGCAATCGCTGAGATTCGAACCCGGATCACCTCATTGGTAGTCGAGCACTCTAGCCCCTGAGCCACCACGACTTGGAGAGATATTTCGATCAGTTCGTTGATTTTTATACAATAGATTATATCGATCTTAAAAATAAAATAAAAACTTCATGAGGCAGATTTTTATGAGAATCATTGCATTGCAATATAAGAACTATTGCAAGGTATATCTATTTAAATAGTACAGGAAAAATAATATCGAAATAATAATATAATTTAAAGTTGGATATCTTACCATTATAAATTTGATTCAAATGATACAAGATTCCCTCGATTTATTTTAACTTATTCGCATGCATGAAACCACATAATTTTGCAGAAATAATTTTGTTTTAATGCATATTTTTATAGTTCATGATATGGAGGAGATTCAAGATTATATTTGCGTGGGCCAAACTAGATATGACGGAGAAATGCGGGCTGTTCTCTTCATCAAAATGAAACAGGGTTATAAGTTCGATTCAGATATGAAAGAAAAAATAACTCAACGAATAACGAAAGAGTTATGGATGGATTGTGTTCCGGATGTTATTTTGGAAATCCAGGATATTCCGGTAAGTTTATGTTCACAGCGATAATTTTCCAGTAGCATTTCTTCTTAGAAAATTTAAGAAATGCAGAAAGTTTAGGTATACTAGAATTTTTTATCAGTTAAAGTACTCAATTTCAGAAATGAGTTAAATAATCACTGTCTTACTTTATTCTGTAAAAGATGGGTCACGAAATTTTTATCGGTTTTAGTGAAACTGTTTTTTGAGAAATTTTATAACTGAATATTTCGTCAAATTAAAAACATTTGACGGAGAACATTGAAGAAATCAACATTGATTGAAGATTTACCTATCTTCACTTGTTAGGCAGACAAATTTGACAGAATCAGTTGGCTTAATGCTGTAAAACTGTAAGAATTAATTATTAAACGCAATATAAAATAAACAAAAAAATATGAATACTTAGCCATAGCCAGGAATTGAACCAAGAAAGCCTGCTCATCAAGTGAGTGCAACCACCCCTGCACCATCCTATCATATGGAATAAAAGGTTTGAGGATCAAATAAACACTGCTGGACAGACATCAGACTGGACTGAGATGACACACTAATCGGTTTGCGATTTCGTCAAATATTTAAGAAATCGTGGTTTGTCAAAAATCACATGTTTTCGCGACGAATTGATTGTCAGAAATAATGAGGTACAGCTCAAGGACTGCTGAATCGTCAAAAAAATTACTTTGGAGAGTGTAGTTTAATTTTTAAGATAAAATTTAAGAAATTAATTGACTAAATCTCCTTTTATGCAAATGAATAAAGTTTCCTGCAAAACTAGGTAACAAATCTGAGTTTTTTTTAAATTAGAAAAAATATATTCTCCTACTATTCAGTCAGTTTCTATATGGTTTAATGCCTGAAACAAGTTCTATTAAACCCTTTAACCTAGAATTTTTATTAAACATTTTTTTCATACTGTTTCATTATTTTGTATTAATTTAGGTCGAAATAAGTAAAAAATATTATATTTAGCACTTTGATAATTTATGGAAACAAAACACAGCATGAGACACCAGTGTCTTTTTCCGCGTTAAAGGTAAAATCTTCCTAACACGATTTACTTCTAAACAATAATTTTTCTTTCAAATTTGCAGCTATTGAGATCTAAGAGAAACAGTTATTCATCATTGAAATTTCTTTAATCTACAAAATCAATTATTGATAGATTTTTGAATAGGAATGAAACAAAAATTATTTTTCGAAATACTTTTTTTGAATTTTACATTTTAGTAGAAATATTAATCCGATAGTCTAAAAAAATTTTAGCAGCTGTAATTCATAATTAAAAATACACCAAAATGTGTTTTTACTTGCAATTAGGGCATCAAAAAAATATATATAAAAGGGGCACCGGGGATCTGCATTAAAGAGTTAAATCTTTGAAGCAAAATTTAAAATACATTTAAAAACCAAAAGGGATTTTTTTTTTTCAAAAAATACTTGACAGGCTCTATTTAGTATAATCATTTTCATCTGGTTGTTTTCTCAAAAAAATGAGATAAAAATAATGTGATCTAACAGTATGATGAACATTCAAATAAACAAAAGAATTTTACAGTATAATGAAGTCAAATTACATAAAATTATTATTTAAATATTGAATAATAAGATGATAAAGATATTAACTTAGTATAAATGGAATTTCTAGTGGATACTATAATTGCAACCTTATAATGAATAATGCCTAAGTTCTTATAGAGTAGTTTATAGCTGCTTATTGATTCATCATATTTTGCTTTAAAAAATTTCAACATTTACAACAAGCACTTTTTATTTTAAAATACTCTTATCAAAAATTCACCTAGTTGTTTCTTTTAAGCTTTCAAAGGAATTCATGAAAGTCGATCTTTAAAACAAATGATAAAAAAAAATAAAACTCCTTAATACACTGGTGGACAAAATTAAAGGATGGAAGACATTTTCCCGAATATCTCAAAAAATACTGAATATAAATAAATGAAATTTGGTTTATGGATATAGCTTATTCCATGATAATAAAGTATGCAAAACAAAAATGAAAGTGCTATTCACTGGCGAGACCTATTGCCAATAAATCCAATGTAGTCTGAACTTAAGGATAAAAGATAACAATAAAAGTGAGGCTTGTACAGTGTGTGTCGCTTCTAGTACGGTGTATGGTCACCCCTGACAGACAGACCGCATGTACAACGAGTATGCATGCTGTTAATAAGGGAGTTAAGGAGGACTTGTGGAAGACCCTCCCATTCTTCCACCAGAGCAATTTTTAACCCCAGAATGGTTCTGGGGGGAGGTTGGCGCATCGCAATAGCTCTCCCAAGAGCATCCCAAGCATGTTCTATAGGATTCAGGTCAGGGGNATTTACAGCAAGCGCTTTTTATTTTAAGATGCTCTTATCAAAAATTCACCTTGTTGTTTCTTTTAAGCTTTCAAGGGAATTCATGAAAATCGATCTTTAAAACAAATGATAGAAAATTAAACTCCTTAATATTTAAAGCCCCCATAATTTTCTTAATGCAAAAGTTGATAATTAACATTTATTTAATAAATATTTCAAACCCAATAGTTAAATGATGGATTGAAAATATATTTTATACATTTGATCATTATTAGTACAACCTGAACAACAAAAGGATGGAGAATGTGGTGAGGAAGATAGTGGCAACAAATCAAATTCCAGAAGTTTCAAACATTAAGAATCCAGAAAGTCTCAAGTACTTTTGTAATATCCCTCAATTGATGAACTATGGCAAAATCTAAACTTTTATGATGATCTGATGGCATTATTTTTCTTTTATCTTATTTTTCTTTGTATATATATCACTATTTATTTTTCTTTTAAAAATGAAACATTTTGTACGTTTGGGTTGTAGATCTAGCACATAATAATGTGATTTTTTTATTTATACAATATTATTTTGCACAAATTTTTAAATAAATACAAGTTAATAAAATGATAGTTGAAGTGTTTTTGTCTAAAACCAAACGTATTTTTAGAATATTCTTGTAGGATCTGATTATCGCTTGAACGAAAGGGCACATGCCCTGAGTCCAATGCTTCACATGTTGGAATTATTCCAGACTTTGGGAAAGATCTGTTTCAGGGGACAATGAACGTTTATAACAGAAAAGTGCAATTTTTATAATATCATTTTCAAATTCTAGCAGAATATTGTTAGTACTAATAGAAGTCTGTGCACAGTGCTCCAAAAAAAACGGGACACCCCGAATAACTTTTGATCTAATGATCGGATCTTCACGTTCTAGGACTCATGTGGACTTAATGGTTCCAGGGGTTGAGCTCAAATATACTAATTATTTAGTGCAGACGATATTTTACGTTACGAAATCAAGCACAAAAACGTACTTTCTCTGAATAAACATACCTTTTCCTGGTCTCCAAAATATAAAAGGTAACCCCAATCTGGGAAATATGGTTCAAATAATTTGGTCAGGAGTACGATCCAAAATTGGTATTTCACCATATCCTGAGAACTTTTTAAGCGAATTGAAAAATTTTAGCACACAATTATAAAACTCGTTTAGCCAAAAATAACCCAATGCAAAAAAAATAAACTTTAGTTTATATTTATTATTTTTAATTACTTTATTAAATAAAAAATCGAAAACATTTTGAACTGAAATGCATAAAATTTTTACGCTATTTTTAAATATATAATTTCACATGGCAAAGTCTTAAACCGAGTCCTAAAACGTGAAGATCCGATCATTAAATCAAAAATTATTCAGGGTAGTCCTTTTTCTAGCGCACTGTACAATGTTTCAGAAAAAGTTTTAAAATTTAAGCTAAAAGTATGGTTTTTAATTGTTGATAATTAAAATGTCACTTGCGAACGAACTTTAATTTCTTTTAATTTAATTTTTTCCAAAATGCGTTGCTTATTAATATTTAAATAAAATTAGGTTAGGTAATTACATAAAAATATAACGTACCTATATACATTACATTTTTATTTCGTCACCAAAAATTTTTTCGTAAAACACGCTTCAATCATGTTTGTTCAATTTTTAAGAAATTAAATTAAGGTATTGAGTTAAATACTTTTAAACTCAAACAAGACACATCGAAGAGTGTTTGGAAAAAAAATTATAACAGCAAAACAAAAAATGGTGCGTAAGGAATGTTTTGAAGATGTAAAAACATTGAAAACTTTCATTACGACTAAAAGGAACGAAAACTACATATTGATGTATGGAGCTTTACATATTCATTATATTATAATTTGGTAAGGAAAACTCCAATTTAAACCCGGTTGGTTGCATATTACTTAGTAAGGTATGAATGTTTTTAATGTTTCAAAGACGAAATAATTGATTTTTAAATGATTTTCATCATTCTAAAGGTCCAATGTCCCCTTCAGAGAAATTCTGAAAAAAATCACATCATAACTTCATGAATATGAGAAAAAGAGTTTCTAAAAAGAGCACACAAAACCAAACATTTCAACGAGTTTTGGAGCATTCGCAATGCAACGAGTCTTTGCTATGGATAAGTATCCGAGATTAAATATTTTGTAAAGGATCCTTTTACACGATAAAATATTTTGAAAAATTTCGTTTGTTTGTTTGCTTCGTTTAATTTTCATTTTTATGTTGTTACCAATCATTTTTATGTTGTTATGTTGTTGCAATCAACCTTGACATATCAATAAAAAGTAGTTTAAAAGACCTTAGATCAACATACATAAAAAGAGATACAAAATTACGACTGCAAAAAACTGTTATACGTCTTGTCCCGAACTATGCAATTTGAAACTTGAATTCTACCAAAATAAAAGAAGAAGAAGCTAATACTACTATGTGTGAAGTGGAGACTTTATGAACAGTTTTAATCGAAATTAAAGAAGGCGATTTCGACAAAAGAAAACAAAAAACATTCAGAAATTTATAAAATTTTAAAAGAATTAAAAATATAAAATTATAATAAAATTTATATAGTCAAAACTCTTTTTAGGGTAAATTTGCCGTTCAGTTACAACTAGCTCAACACATAAGATTTTCAAACATCAAACAGGAAGAACCCGGGTTATTGTACAAAGGACGATGATGATGAATAAGAAGTATTTCACGATCAACACGATTATGGGTTACGACGCATTGGCTTATGATACTTCGAATACTTTTTTAATTTTTCCGAATATCAGTAAAATGATGACAATGTAACTTGATTAAAATAGCTTATTATAGTCACGTCATTACTATCGACTCTTTAATTTTAATGTAGAATTTTATATTTAAATATAATTTATATTTCATGCTTAAGTTTAAAACTATTCAACAGTTAAAATAAAAGAGAAATACATTATTTATCGAACCTGTCCCACACATCATATTTTGCGATTCTCGTGGTCTAGTTAAAACACATAAATAGCATTGCGCAAATAATAGATAGAGAGAACAGTGGCAACTCTAAATTATATTATTTGAACAACTGAGAACATTAAAGTCGAACTATAATGAAGAAACAGTTTCATTTGAAGCAATAATTGAAGCCGCTATAAGTGCGGAATCATTATTAACAACTGAAGTGATTAGTTGCATTTCCGCAGGTAAGAAAAGATATTTTAAGATAACCCTATTGCAATTATTTATTATTTATGTAATTATTCATTTTTTCTCGGAGTTGGGTCGTAAAATATAGTGAAATTTAGCAAAAAAGCACCGTTTACGCGAAACATGATTGTTTGAAAACTAATTGAGTTTTTTACTAAATCAAAAGTGAATTACCATCTATAAACAACGAAGTGAATTCTTGAACTAAGATAATCGATAAAACGGTTGTTTCACAAGGGAACTATTACTGTAACTATAACTAAAGGAGCAAAATCAAAAGTGAATTACCATCTATAAGCAACAAAGTGAATTCATGACTAAGATAATCGATAAAACGGTTGTTTCACAAAGGAACTATTACTGTAACTAAAACTAAAGGAGCAAAATCAAAAGTGAATTACCATCTATAAACAACAAAGCGAATTCTTGAACTAAGATAATCGATAAAACGGTTGTTTCTCAAAGGAACTATTACTGTAAGTATAACTAAAGGAACTAAATCGAAAGTTAATTACCATCTATAAACAACAAAGCGAATTCTTGAACTAAGATAATCGATAAAACGGTTGTTTCACAAAGGAACTATTACTGTAACTATAACTAAAGGAACTAAATCTTAAGTTTATTACCATCTACAAACATCAAAGCGAATTTTTGAACTAAAATAATAAATAAAATAGTTGAATAAAACGAAAAAATCATGGAAATTAATTTGTCATATTTCTTTTCCTTTTCATATATTTTTCATTCATAAATAATTTTCATTCATAAATCATAATTTTTCATTCATATATAATTTAAAGTTTGATATCTTATCATTATAAATTTGATTCAAATGATACAAGATTCCCTCGATTTATTTTAACTTATTCGCTTATTACTTAGATTCACTTATTAATTCAAATTCTTAAGTGAAATTAATTAAACAGGAGGTAGAAAAATAAAAATAACCATAACTACATTTCTACATTAAGAATTAATTTAATTTTTACTAACTGTAACTGTTTTGAATACTTATATGTGCTTTGGGGGCGGTTTTTTTGATGTCATCTAAGTGTTTTGTATATTTGTTTCAGTAAAGGTGATTATTTTGCAAATTTATATGAATGTTATAATGGTAAATATTTATTTAATGTGGTAATTATTATTATTCTTTATGCTTGTATTTTCATTAGGGGCCTCGGGGCACTGTTAGTTTTGGCTTTGCCACTAACNTATGTATATATATATATATATTTCTTAATTTATAATAATATGCGCATAAAAACATCTTAATATCTTGATTGGAATGGTTAAGTCTTGCAAATATAAACTGTTCATGAATTAAAGATATTATTCAACTCTAATTATAGATAGCAATATAAATAACAGCAAGTATAGACTATATGAACAATAAACTACTTCGAAAATAGTTTTTAAAAAAAAAATATTAAATGATATTAAATCAATTGGTTACTCGCGCATCAAGAAGATCACAGATACCTACACATAAGACTCATGGCGTTGGTTGATTTCATATAAGCGAAATAGCATGTTAAAGTTGAGCTGAACACAAGTTAGAATGTTAATTAATGAACGCTAAAAATGTTAATAACATACTAAAAATGTTAATAACATTAATTAACGAAATTAATTAAATACAGCGCCGTATCGCACATCGAATTTGTTGAAATATAATTATTTCTCACCTGCATGTTTTACTTAACTGAAATTTCTTATTTGTTTATGTATTTTACTGTAACTATGATATATTTTTGTTCGAGTACCTGGCAACTTCGATGCATGATTAGTTTATTTATGTTCTACGTGGCTTCTTCCTTGTCTTTGTGTTAAGTGAGAAATATATAGTGAAAAAATTAAAATCCTTGTGAAAGATTCTTTGTATGAGAATAAAGAATATGTCAATTAAGAGAATTGATTCTTGGTTGGTTTAGCTTACTCGAAATGGAATGGAAAGAACAGTTGATAACGTAAACAAATGTTACGTCTCAACAACCAATATGGTTCGAAATACCCACACTAGGTCACTTGCATCCATTATCGAAAAACATCTTGTCCGAAAACATTGGGACACTGATATAAACCTATAATAATAAATTAAAATGTAAAAATTTTAATATGAAGGCTAAAAAAATTTTTAGAAATCATAGCAGATCTAATATATAACCACGTAATTTGACAAAGATTATACCACAGAATCGAATTTTTTACTATTCGCGATCGCAACGAACTATAGGGGGCGTTGTTGCATGAGACTAATACCTGCGATTTCTATATGAACAGTCATTCATTTACTCTAGAGACGTCTTTAATGTAGCGTGTAGCATTGCAATGTTCCTTTTTTATCGAGGCTAATTAAATTTAAAAAAGAAAAATTTTTAATATCCTTTCTTATGCAAACGAAAACAAAATGGTATCTCTTTTTTTTTTAGAGAAGGAACATCCTAAACACATCGGAAAAATATTTATATTCCTATAAGAGTTAAAACCTAATGCCCGAAAAATAGTTTTACTAAATTTAATGATATAACATTAAAGGCCTATTTAAACTTTACATTCCATCAAAAATTACGATACAAAGACGATACAAAGCAAAGATGAGAACCCCAATTCTAAAAATTCCTTACATTAAAATAAACAACTTTCGTGTTTTTTCTTTTTTGATTTATAATCGAACGCAGAAAACCATTCTATAGAAAACTATCATTTAAATCAAATCAGAAAAAAATTACTTAAAAGTAAAAAATTTTATTTTATAAAAATTAACACTTACCTGCTTTATAAATCAGAAGAATTCCAAAATGAATTGTTCTTCGATTCCTGTTACCATTTTTTAGTGTTATGAAAATGCGTCTTTGGGATTTGCCAAAAATAGAACAAGATGCAATTTTATTTCTTCAGGAGCGAAATATTTTGCCCATTGTCCACCGAAATCCGATAAACTACTTTGATTTCAAATAAAGTGTTTTATTTTATGATTTGTTGTAAAAATTTTGGTGTAGATTGGTGGCACTTAAAAACCGCAAAATCTGTAGTTGCGGTGGCGTTATTACGTAAGTACCGAATCATATTACTTCAAACATTAGAATATGCAAGAAGTATACATTAGCACATAATTTTATACCATTTAATTTTTCTAAACAATTATTTTAACAACAATTTTTATCAAAAAATTATAAACTAAAAAACGTAAAATAAAGAATTCTTAGGATAAAAAAACGATTTTTTTATTTGCTTTT